TGTGTGTTTATTGGCAAAATTACTATGTTGCCCTTAAAATATATTTGATGTTGATAAATATTGCAAACACAAAAAATAATAGACTTTGTTTGCAAATACAAAATTATAGCTACAATCACATTAAAAAAACTCACACAAAATGTTATATACAATGGAGATACTAAAAAATCCCATACAAATTTCATAAAAAGGGCATCTCTTAGATCTTCAAAAAATACAAACAAACAGACATAGATTGAATTTTCATATGTTCATTACCACATTTTCAAGAATAAAAAAAAATGGCTCCACTTATAGTTGTGTACTCTCCAAAGAAGGTATTTTTTCTCTATCTAATCTTGCTACTTTTCTTCACTTCAATATTCATTTCTTCTGCCAATCAAAACCAACAACAGCCACAAAAAAAGTAAGAACGTTGTTAGATTCAAAAGATGATGGTGAAAGTAATCAGCCAATCACTATCAAGAAAAAAACCCACTTCTTCAACAGCAAAAAAAGCTTTCTCAATCAAGAACAAAACTAAACTCATTAAGCCCACTGCAACTCCATCAAAAAATCAAAAAAAGCTAATCAAAAGCACCATTAATGGCGGACTCAAGAACCAGTCTAAGCAGATTAAGCTCCCATCTTATTCATCATCCAAAAATTAAAACAAAATTAAAACACACACGCAGGATGCTACACTCACTATCGCACAACTAACACATAGAACACTAATCTAGTCGCAAAAAAATAAGCACCAATCCAGCAAAAACACGCAAAACAAAAAAAAAAGGGTAAATAAAAAATATCTATCCAACCAATATATTCAGAGGAAAAGAGGGGAATAAACCGAAGAGGCTGATCGTTTAAATAGAAAAAAAAATGAATTTTAAAATAATGGAGATGGATAAGAATCAAAAACCATCTTCAGAAAGTTGAGAAGTGGGTGGGAGAGAGAAGTTATAACGTCAGTTAAAAAACTCACCCAAAGAAAAATGAATAAAAGGAAATTAAAAAAAAAAAAAAAGTAGAGAGGGATCAGAAGGGGTTGCCCGTTGTTGAGCAAATTACAACGAATGAAACTGTGCGAATGAATTTAGGAGAAATTACAACGTGTAATCTTTTATTCCCAAAAAAATCTAGGGTTTCTCCAAAAAATAACCAACGTTACTTTATATATATATATATATATATATATATATATATATATATATATATAAACAGCACACGTAGGGAAAATATGTGAAAATAAAAGATTTATTTAGGGTTTAATAATAAAATTGAAGGGATTAAGCACCAGAAATACGAAAAAATTGGAAGATTGGAACGCCATTGAAAGGTATGTTTTTACGAGGTAAAAACCTAGGGTACAAGAGCTGAAAGGGGGAAGATGAAGATTATTCACTATTTATACCTATTAATTTCGTAATTGTTGTATTTTGGAAGGATATTTTCGATATTTCACATAGGTTGATGTATGGGATTGAGTATGTGATAATTAGTCAAGCCAATTTTGGCTTGACTAACAATAATTCAATTGAGGGATTAAATCAGTGGGCCCAAATTAAATCAGTGGGCCCAACTGTCAAGGATGTAAAATCAACCAAACCAAACGTTGTACTAATCGATACATCCCATCCCATCCCTTGTAATACCCCCAACCAAAGATGCCCTAAATGTATAAGTGTTACCATTCCCAGTGCTTAACATGTCGTTTCTGATTATTTGGTGCTTAAGTGTCCTCATTATTGTCAAATTCAAAATGAAGTTATTTCGGCAATTTTTCGAATAGCTTAGACACCTCTTCGTAAGACAGGCATAACTCTTTCGTCTCAACTCCAAATGCGAAGTATAAATATGATACAGAAATTCAGAAGAAGGCTCTACAACTTGTATGCTTGGATATTTAGGAAATTCAGACTGGATCGAGGTCAAAGTTTAGGCCGAAGTCGCTGCACCTGCACATACCACATTCTGCCGACGCTGTTCAGATTTTGAATTTTATATGCAGCCAACTTTTGGGAGTTCCTCCATATTTCTTGCAACATAATGTTTTTGATGGAACTAAATGCAGACATTGAAGTGTGTTGATTAATTTTCAAGTGGGATATGGACATAGATAGTTTGTTAACATACTCATTGTCACTAAGGGGATACAAACAACAGATATGTATTGTGTAATGGTTAATGGGAACCAATGGTTTATCATATGTACTCGATGGCTGTCCAAATTCAGATCTGCAATGTTATTTTCTCTTCTTTCTTTTTCATTTCAATATATGTAGATTGGTAATGGTCTCGAGGCCATTTCCTTTTGGTTGAAAAAAGTAAATTGTTGGCATAGTGATTTAATGATGAAATCTTATATATATATATATATATATATATATATATATATATATATATATATATATATATATATATATATATATATAACTGCATGTCTTTTACAATTTCGAAGGGAGGGTTCCGACACATGCCAAAGGACGATTGTAAAAAATCGAACACCCTAGTTATTTGTTGCATCAATTCTGAAAATAAAAAGCATATAATCTTTTTCTAGCGACTTTGGAACAACTCTACCAAGCTGGAGTATATTTGCTCTTTCACGGCATGCGTATTACTAGTGTTTAGCGTATAACTTGTAGCCGATGTATGCGTTTTCAATCTTGCAACTCCATGAATATCTTTCAGATTTTGAAACAGGGACAAATTTCAAGAGGAATACTTCATTCTAGAACTCTTAACACAACAGGGAAGAATGATGAACCGTACAGCTCCATTTTACCAACTTCATCAAATTTCTGAATTTCAAGCTAGGATTGGATAACTTAAGAACTCCCAACACATTTGTTATGAGCCTAGTTATATTGACTCCCTAGAATAAATAAAAATCACATCTCAATGTAGTTACAGAATAGTTATTAGATTAAAATAAGTTAGAGTTGCTTTTGGTTGTTCTCTGTGTCTTGAATGACTTACGTGACTTCTTTATCAAAGGAATCACACTAACAAAATGTCAAGGCCTCACTTCTCCACCCTAACAGATAATTCAAGTTTGACCTGCTTGATCCTCGATTCTTGCCACCACTAGCAATATCTTTCCGTTTTTGCCCCGTATAATTTCTCCTGTTTCGCCTGCAATTCTCAATTTGGGGGCAGGTTACACATATAAGCAAACACACAGCTTGTCCCATGTCACTGTCATATTACCCAAGATTGGAAAGATACAACAGTTTGCGAGTTGTCTAAGGAGACAAATATGTATCGAACATGAACAATCAAAATTCTCAATTCTAGCAATAAGAAACATAAAAGTAAAAAAGGAACAACTGAATAACTTTTGAAATTCTCAATTCTAGCAAGAAACAACTAAAAAAAATGAAAGAACGAAAAAATCGATCACTAATAATACTGGAAAAAAAAAAAACAAGAACAAATATTCCATCAATCAAAGTACTAATCATTAATTCTTATAAAGAAAAGTACTAATCATCAAAGGTGCAACAGCCACCGCATATAGCGATTCTTGGGGCAGGCATCTTTGTCCGGAATACTCACATTCTCAAATTAAATTCGCGGTTTAGCCCCAGCCCCCCTCCCCGGCGAGACGATGAAGCAAAACGAGAAAACTAGAGATTCTGAGATTTTTGTTTGGTGAAGAACATTCGTGAGGTTTTGAGAGATTTTGAGTGTGAGGTCTTGAGAGATTATGAGATTTTGTTAATTCATTATGACTATTAAAATATTTTTAATTAATATTTTAATTTGTTGATTAATAAATATTTTAATTTATTGATTTGAGTTTATAAGGTTAATTAAGTTATTTATACAAAGTACGATGTGTGTACGATAGAGTACGATGCGTTTTTACTGGGTTCGTACTTTAATTTTTAAATCACTAGTGTCAGGTTGTACAAAAAATCAATAGATGAGATCAAAAATTTACTATTTGTACAGTCCAGATTCAATCGTTATGGTCCGAGAAGTACAAACCCTCTCGGACCCTAGACAAGCCCATCAGAGCATAGTCGATTAACTTAATCGACTACGATGAAGCATAGGCGATTAAGGGTCCAAACTGTACTTATTTCTCTACCCGCGCCGTCCTCCGCCCAATTTACAAAAAAATCCTAGATCTGCTCTCCATTGTCACCAAGCCGCCGTATCTAGGGGTGGAAATCGGAACAAAATTTCCGATTTCCGCCGATTCCGATCCAAATATTTTCGATTTTGGAACGATTTTTATTGTCCGATTTCCGAAATTCCGATTTCCGAATTTTCCAAAAAATATCAGATCGGAATCGGAATTTCCAAATTCCAATCCGAAATATTCCGAAATTTTCCGACATTTTTCGAAATTTTTATATATAAATAAATTATATATCATACATGTTTATTTCTTTGGAGTGGCCCATAATATTATTTATTTTACAAATAATAAAAGTTTGATCTATTGGCCCATCAAACTATCCTTATTCAGAAATCAGACATAATCCCTTAATTCAAAGAAAACCTAATCTCTTTTCTTCTTCTTCACCGCGCCGCGCCGCTGTGCTTCTTTTCAGTTCTCTCTTCTTCTTCAATATTCAGCTCCATTACAAAGGGCGACGCTCGTTTCTTCGAGCACTCAAAAGGCAAAGGGGTGCTGGCCAGTAAGCTATTCGTCAGGCTCATCGATATGCAAATAACAACCACTTCTATTTTGGAAACCTCAAATATTCTGTTATTTTAAGAATTATTTTGGTGGAATATGTCCATTGATATGAAGGGAATACAAATTCTTGAATGTTTTGCATTCTGTGGAGAGATTTATCGTGGATTGTTGCTCGTTTTTGGTGTTTTCGATTATTTTTCTTGTTCCCATTTTTTTTTAAAGAAAATTTTGAAATTCCGAAAAAATCCAAAATTCCGAAATTTCCGAATATATCGGAATCGGAACTCAGTTTTTGATTCCGAAATTTTTGGAATCGGAATCCAAAATGACATTTGAGTTCCGAAAAAAATCGGAAATTTTCCTAAACGCCCGTTTCCGACCCGATCCGTCCGATTTCCACCCCTGGCCGTATCACACCATCACCACCCCACTTCGATAAATTCTCGCCTCCGCCGTCTGCTGCACCACCACTCTCCGCCGCCTCCTACACCACCACTCTCAACCGTCGATATAAAGTACCACGGGAATCTAATCTTGACAAAACTCCATGAAACTTCAACCGACGGGCTAATTCTTATTATTCTTCCTCTTCGGCTAATTCTTATTATTCTTGTCACCACATAATACATTCGAGTATACGAAAAGCGGACCCACCACCACCACCGTCATCCTCTTCCTCATCTCTGCCGTTGTCGTGCGTCTCCGACGAGAGTGAGGAGCTGCAGTGTCTGGAGAAAAGAAAGATAACAAAAAACAGAGAAAAGAGAATAAAGAAATGAGAAAGGATTTGGGATAAATGAAAAATGAGATTAGGTTTTTGAAAGAGTAAAGATAGATTTGGAATTAAAAAAATAGCATTTGGATTGAATATTAACTAAAGGGTTTTTCTCTAATTATTTTTTGGAGGGGGTTTTCCTTAACTACATTTCCTAAATGGGGACTTCTTGCTAATTTTCCCTAAAATCTATATTGGTTTAATACTAAAACATTTTGATAAAATCCTCTCATTGAATTTCCTTAGAACGATAAACCCCATTTTAAATCACATTTTAGGCATAACCCCCATTTTAAATCACATATTAGGCATAACCCCTTTAGATGTAGAATACCAAAATTGTCCTATTGTGGAAAATTAACTAAAAAATTGCAAATAATGTCATTTTATTTTTGTAATTTTTAATAATTTTTTTTTTCGTTTTCATTTTTTCATTCCAATTTAAAAACTTAATTTCTTCGGTTTATTTTCAAATATAACATTTTTTTTATTTTTTTCCAAGTACGTTAACTAAATTGAAATCCACTACACGCTTATTAAAATACACTACAAATTTATCGTAATTCACTATTAGTTTTTCGAAATCCACTATGTAATTAATATAATCCACTACAAAATATTGCAATCCACTAGTAAATTAAATATAATCCACTACAAAATTATAGTACACAACTTTATAACCAAAAGAATATAGTTGTGTTTTGGCAGAAAAAAACAAAATGAGTAGAAAAAAAGCTAAAAAAATTGCTATTTTTCTATTTCTTTTTCGAACGACGGCACCAACAAACGATGCCGCCGCCAATGACAATAGCATAGTTACCCAGATATCCCCACCTAGTCATCCTGCCGACATCACTCACTCCGCCTGTACAAGACATTGAAAGGAAGAAATAGAAAACAAAGACATGTCAGTTCAATTTCATTCAAAATATTCACATTTCAAAGGTAGTAACTGGAAATCCACTATAATTTAATTGAAATCCATTACAAATTTATTGAAAATCCACTAGAAAATTAATGCGATCCACTACAAAATTAAGGTAATCCACTGTAATAATAATAATAATAAAAAAAAACAATTACAAATCGACATTGGAAGGAAACGAACTCCTACTCAAAATATTATGGCCGTATGTGATTTTGATATGTGTTTTCACGTACGTATTTCCAGGTTGGGAGGGGAGCGCACACGATACTCGAATATTTTCACTAGTAGAAAATTTGCTTATTACTACGAAATTTTTTGCTACGGTAAAAAACCGTATATACTTTTTTACTACGGAACAATTCTGAAGTTATAGTAAATATTAGGATTTATCGTAACAAAAAAGTATTTGGTATGGCTATTTACCTTAGCAAAGCTTTTGTCACGCCTGTATATGCTACGGGGCAAATTCGTAGCAAATACGTAGCAAAAGCCTTTTTAGTACGAATTTGATACCTTTTGCTACGGTTAATGATCGTAGTAAAAAACCATTTTTTACTAGTGTTTATAACATTATCAAAAATCCAGAAAAAAAAAATTTCCAATGCCGCCTCCTGGTTTGATTGATTTTCATTTTTCAGATTCATCTTTTTTTTTGCCTATTAGACTATCGACATAATTAATGATACCTGAGTATTGTATCGATATTTGTGATTGGTAAGTATTACCTAGTTGAATGCCAGCTATCCAAATATACCCGGATTTCTAGCACCATACAAACATCAGAAATATCATCTTCCAGATTTTCAACGAGCGAGTACACACACAAATCAATATGAAGTGCTCAACCATATGCACTCATCAATACGAAGTACGATTGAACGAGCATTTGGATGTTGGAAAGGAAGATGTTATACACGATGAAAGATATACCCATCAATATTTCATGGGAAATTCAAGTAGCGCTTGTCCCAACTACGATGGTAATTTATAACTTTCTTCGTAAAAAGGATGCACTAGACGACGCATGCTAGAAAATTTAAATTGTAAACACTAAATTGTTAAGTACAATAGAAGTAATAATCCCCCAATTTGTAGGCACGCACACCTTGCAAAATTTAATTTTAATTTAAGTTGAAATTAATAAATTTTCAAATTACAAGATAAGGAATATTAATTGTAGTTGCGGAAAATAAACAACTAGTTGTATAAAAAACTAGAATAATTAATTAATCTACAACATATATATATATATATATATATATATATATATATATATATATATATATATATATATATATATATATATATATATATATATATATATATATATATATATATATATATATATATATATATATATATATATATATATATATATATATAAACCCTAAACAGACTCTACAATGGAAGAAGACTTTGGGGATCTTGTTGTTGTTCTTGTTCTTCTTCTTCATCGTCTCGGGACATTTCTTCAAGAGATCTTCCTTTAGCCTCCGGCACCAAAAAGGTGCAGAGCAATCGAAGAACATTTATTCCGGAAAGAATAAACAAAGAGTTCCTTATCCCAATTCCAGCAGGGTACCCTGCATCTGTCTTACACTTGTCTTGATTCTGCGACGCGTACAAGAATCCGAAAGCTCCGACAATTGCTCCTGCCTTCCCCGCCGCCGCTGATATCCCGTGGCAAGTCGATCGGAGCCTGGCCGGAAATATCTCCGCCGGCACAATAAAGGTGGTGCTGTTTGGCCCGAAATTGGCAAAGAAGAAAGTTAAACCGTACATTATGAGAAACCCAGCTTTGTTGAGAGTCCAGTGGTGGTACGGAATCGCCAGAGCTAACATGAACACCGTCATAAAGAAGAAACTCATTATCTGGATAACGAATCTTCCTATTCTGTCTATGAGAAGTACGGTTACCCAATAACCTGGAACTGTGCCGCAGAATGCAATCAAGAATTGAGCGAACGAGACCTTGAATAATTTGTCGAGCGCGCTCATGGTTTTGGCAGGGGGCAGCCTTCCCACTGCGCTGAATATTTCCTTCTGGAATAGGTTCTGGCTGTAGTAAGCCACGTCGACAAAGAACCATGTACTTGCCGTTCCGATCAAGTGGAGCCCGTGCCTGCGTAGGAATTCTTTTGAAAATAGCCCGAATTTCGTTTTATTAGTCTTTGTTTCTTGAATGGTGATTTTGACTTGCATGACTTTCTCCATGTCCTTGCGTGCCTTCTCGGCGTTGTTGGCCACTAGGGCGGTGTACCTGGCGGTTTCAGGCAACTTCTGTTGGAAAAATTGGTTAAAAATTGAGTCATGAACAATTTTTTATCAATGGTATTGTATGGTCTAATTGATTATATAAATCAATTTTGGAATAGATTAGTATAAAACCAATTTTATGGTGAATGGAAAATTACTAGTCCAAAATATAAGGAAAGTGGGATTTTGAGTTATCCCACATTGGAAAAGTAGAGAAGTACTGAGCTGTATATATATATCTAAATGTTAGGACAAAGGGTCACGCCCTTTGGGCATTCAACTTTGTTTGGGAGAAAGACCTATATGTTATGTGTTTCGAATCGTGCCCCCGCGCGCCGCCGCCACCGTCCGACCGGCCGGCCGGCTCGGCTCGCTCGTTCATTCGTACGTACGGATCGAATTTGATTTGATTTGGGCTTGAGCCTAAATCACTACATCTCGAATGGTCTGACTGGTCTTTGGGCATTCAACTTTGTTTGGGAGAAATGCCTATATGTTATGTGTTTCGAATCGTGCCCGCGCGCGACCGCCGTCTGTCCGGCCGGCTTGGCTCGCTCGTTCGTACGTACGTACGGATCGGATTTTATTTGATTTGATTTGGGCTTGAGCCTAAATCACTACATCTCGAATGGTCTGACTGGTTTGAATTGGTGTGGCCGAACCAATGCAAACCAATTGGCTCAACTCGCAAAGTACAGTTCGTCGTACTTGGGATTTAGAGTGCTCCTATTCCAAGCCTTGCCGTTGTATCTTGGGAGACCCGAACCAATGCAAACCAATTGGCTCAACTCGCAAAGTACAGTTCGTCGTACTTGGGATTTAGAGTGCTCCTATTCCAAGCCTTGCCGTTGTATCTTGGGAGACGATTTTCGTTCAAGCCGTTAGCACCATTGCGGGCAAATTGAAGCAACAACGACAAAGGAAAATGGAAGCCAAAGAAGTTCAAGTTCAATGGAACGTGTCACAATTGCGGCAAGCTAAATCACATGGCAAAGGATTGTCGTCAACCCAAGAAGCAAGCTAACATGGTCGAAGACAAAAGTGTTGCTATCGACATGTCCGATCTCAACTTGTGTGATGTAGTCTTTGAAGCTAACTTGGTGGACAATCCCAAGGAATGGTGGCTCGATACGGGTGCAACTCGCCGCATATGCTCCAACAAGGAGTAGCTCTCCTCCTACACTCCAATCAACGGTCAAAAGATGTTCATGGGAAACTCTGCAACCTCGGACATTGTAGGCATAGGAAAGGTTATTTTGAAGCTCACCTCCGGGAATGAGCTCACTTTGGTTAATGTACTGCATGTTCCGGACATCCGTAAAAAAATAATTTCCGGAACGCTGTTCAGTAAGGTTGGTTTTAAGTTAGTTCTTGAGACTGAGAAACTAATTCTTTCCAAGAATAGTTATTTTATAGGGAAAGGCTATGTTAATAACGGCCTTGTTAAGATGAATGTAATGACGGTTGTTCACAAGCTTGATGATAATAAAATTACTAATTTTATGTACTTGATAGAGTGTTCTAAATTATGGCATGTTAGATTAGGACATGTGAATTTTTAAACACTTAAAAAGTTAGTAGACTTAGAACTACTACCTCATCTTAAATTCGATTCTCAAAAGAAATGTGAAACTTATGTAGAAGCAAAAATGACCAAATTGTCATTTAATTCTGTTGAAAGAATAACAGAACCTCTAGATTTAATTCACAGTGATATTTGTGATTTAAAATTTGTGCAAACTAGAGGAGGAAAGAAAAATTTTATTACATTTATTGACGATTGCACTAAATATTATTATGTGTTTTTGCTAAGGAGCAAAGACGAGGCCTTGGAAGCTTTCAAAAGCTATCAAGTTGAAGTGGAAAATCAACTTAGAAGAAAAATCAAAATGATTCGAAGTGATAGAGGTGGAGAATATGGTGCTCCATTTGATGAATTTTGTTCTCAAACCGGCATTATTCATCAAACCACGACACCTTACTCACCCCAATCAAATGGTGTTGCTGAACGCAAAAATCGGACTCTTAAAGAAATGATGAATGCAATGTTAATAAATTTGGGTTTACTTCAGAATTTGTGGGGGGAAGCACTCCTCTCAGCCAATCTTATTCTTAATAAGATTCCGCACCGAGAAAAGAAAGAAACCCCTTATGAATTATGGAAAGGTCACAAGCCGTCCTATAAATATTTAAAAGTGTGGGGGTGTTTGGCTAAGGTAGAAGTACCTAAACCAAAACAAATAAAAATTGGGCCTAAAACTGTTGATTGCATCTTTATTAGTTACGCAAACAACACTAGTGCATATCGATGTTTAATACACAAGTCTGATGTTCTTGATATGAATGAAGGCACAATCATTGAATCAAGAAATGTTGCATTTTTTGAGGATAGATTTCCCTATAATGAAAAATCAGCAACTAGTTCTAACAAAAGAACATATGAAACTGCTAATGGTGGTCTTCAAAGTGATGAAGAACCTAGACGAAGTACTAGGGAAAAAATTGCTAAGTCCTTTAGACCGGAATTCCTAACATATACTATGGAAAATGATCCAAGGACCATAAAGGAAGCTTTATCCACTCACGAAGCGCCGCTTTGGAAAGAACCAATCAATAGTGAAATTGATTCGATTATGCAAAATCATACGTGGGTATTGGTTGATCTACCTCCGGGAGATAAACCGTTAGGCTGTAAATGGATTCTCAAAAGAAAGTACAAAGCCGATGGATCGATTGATAAATACAAGGCAAGACTAGTAGTCAAAGGATTTAGACAAAAAGGAAGGTCTAGATTTCTTTGATACTTATTCGCCCGTAACGAGAATCACATCAATTAGAGTACTTCTAGCAATTGCTGCTCTGCACAATCTAGAAATTCACCAAATGGACGTCAAGACAGCCTTTTTAAATTGTGAATTAGAAGAAGAAATATACATGGAAAAACCCGAAGGGTTTGTTGCTCATGGACAAGAGTCCAAAGTATGTAAACTTGTGAAGTCACTTTATGGACTAAAACAAGCTCCCAAGCAATGGCATGAAAATTTTGATAGAACAATACTAGCAAACGGGTTTAAAATAAATGAGTGTGATAAATGAGTTTAAATTAAAAACACACCTAATGAATTTGTGTTTATATGTCTCTATGTGGATGACATGTTAATTATGGGCAGTAATCACGAGATAATCGTGAAAACTAAGAAAATGTTATCGACACATTTTGACATGAAAGATATGGGTCTAGCCGATGTAATTTTGGGAGTAAAAATTATCAAAAATGACAATGGACTAGTTCTTACTCAATCTCATTATATTGAGAAAGTACTACGAAAGTTTAAAATGTTTGATAGTCCACCTGCTACGACCCCAATCGATTTGAAAATTCACTTAGCCAAAAATCGTGGAGAACCAGTGGATCAACTGGAATATTCTCAAGTAATAGGCAGTCTAATGTACGTCATGAACTGCACTCGTCCGGACATTGCTCATTCGGTTAGTAAATTAAGTAGATTTACAAGCAATCCTGGAAATGACCATTGGAATGCACTAACTAGAGTACTTAGATACTTGAAATATATTCTAGATTTTGGTTTGCATTATACAAGATATCCATCTGTACTAGAAGGCTACAGTGATGCTAATTGGATATCCGATACTAAGGACTCAAAATCCACAAGTGGTTACGTTTTCACTATAGGTGGAGCTGCTGTGTCATGGAAATCTACAAAGAAAACATGTATAGCTCGATCCACAATGAAATCGGAGTTTATAGCTTTAGATAAAGCTGGAGAAGAAGCGGAATGGCTTCGTAATTTCCTAGAAGATATTTCGTGTTGGAATAAACCAGTGCCTGCAATATTGATACATTGCGATAGTCAATCAGCAATTGGAAGGGCACAAAGCAGCATGTATAATGGTAAGTCTAGACACATTCGTCGCCGACACAATACCATAAGGAAATTGATCTCAAATGGAGTAATTTCTATAGACTATGTAAAGTCTAAAGACAATTTAGCTGATCCGTTGACTAAAGGTTTACTAAGAGATCAATTACAATGCCTATCTAGGGGAATGGGATTAAAACCCATCAATTAAGGACAATCTTAGTGGTAACCCAACCATGCTGACGCCCAAGAACTGGTTCAAAAGGGACAACTAAGCTAAGAAAGTTCTGTCGAGCACTAAGGAACTCATTCCTAACTCATTCCCGCGAAAAATAATAGTGCTACCTGATTTAGGGGTCTGTGTGACTTAGGGTTGAAGATACTGGGTGTTGGGGTCTGTGTGACTTAGGGTTGGAGATAGAGGATTCTGGAACGTTGGGCTTGATTCCGGTGATGTTGAAGGCAACCTGACGAGTCTTGGATGAGGACGACCGGAAAACTTGAGGACCGAGCCGGATCTACGCCTTCAACACAGATCTGTTTACGGATCTGTCAGGTTAGCTAGTTTATTCTTATAATTTGTAATTTTATTATTATTGAATATTTAGAATTGCTTTGTACTCCCTAATCCATTTTCCCATAGGATTTATTATTCTGTATTCATTTGTTTTATGGTTTGTAATCCTATTGAGTTCAACGGTACCCAATATATATATATATATATATATATATATATATATATATATATATATATATATATATATATATATATATATATATATATATATATATATATATATATATATATATATATATATATATATATATATATACTTGTGTAAATTGTTTTAATTTTTTTAACGAAACCATATTTTTGAATATCATACAAAAACTCATTAAAAATTAAAAAGTAAGTTTAATGGTCCGGAACTTAATTGACATTAATTTAGTTGGTATTTTTCTCCGTTTAAATTTTGCTAACTCTACAAATATAATAGTAAATCACAAGAATTTGATATTATTCTTATTACAAATATAAACATATACATTATTTTAATGATATAATAACATAATAATGATATAATAACATCTCAAAATCTGCTTAGGATCTAAACCAATTACACAAAAATGGTTACATAGTTAAAACTTGTGAATTGTGTGAGGAATATAGAGTAGGGGAAAGTACAAATAAATCCGCAATACATAATTTAAAGCGTGGATCACTTCCTAGATAGTTTCTCTAAGTAGACCAGTCCTTATTCACGCGTCTAATATACAGATCAGCACTTAATGTCGTTTATTATGCTTTTTTCGGATTCTCTATCTTCTATTTCTCTCTTTTTCTTCTTTTTCTTTCTTCTCTCTACTCTCTTTCTTCTCTCTCTCTTCTATAGTTTCCTCTTTCTCCAACGAGAAAATCACTGTAAAACACACAATGGCTATAAATGATGTACCAAACCCAGAGCTCACTGTGATTCTTGGAAATTGTCGATACAAAGATCAACAGCTCATCATTTCCATCAAATGTAATTCAACCTTAATGGAGATATATTGTGCTGTTATTAGGAAGTGGAACGATATCCATCCATATCTATGGCAGAGTCACTGATTTCATTGCCTTTAAACTGGAGGTCTATGCAGTTAGGGCTAATCGACAATCTGTTTAATATTTCAGTAGATTGTACACTATTTATCTGTTTAATACTATTCTATTGCCAAAGGGTAACAAGACGTTGGAAAGGTGGATTTACCCACATGTAGAATATTAGGAGATTTTAGGGTGTTTTGCTTGCAGAAGGTTGGTATATGATTTTCTTGTTGAGAATATGGATATGTACTTGAGGGGACAATAAACTATTTTGATGCTTGCACTATCGGCTTAATGGTAAGTGATATCCAATACATTATATTATGTTATACAGAATATACCAATTAATAGTGATTCCAAAATGAGTAGGCATGGATGCATGAACGGATCGCGTCACTAAGGGTTTCCACCAGTGCTTACAAATTTCCCCGGTTCTTCCGATGGCAAGACAACAAAATCACAACCGAAGAAGAATAAGTTAGGTTGGTTTTTGCTCGAATAACAGAAGTACATGTAACAATTTGAGTTACACAATATATATTATATTAGGTATTTGCTAACATTGTTTTAATTTTTATTAGGTTATACCATTTGATGTTTACCTAAAAGAGAAAGCTTTGCTTTGCCCAATTTTGGAAATAATTTATGGTCTAGTTGTTGCAACACACCCAATGATAAATGATGATAGGTTTGCTGAAATAAGTTCTCAAAGTAGCAAAGAGGACAGTGTAAACATGGAAGCAATACCTATAAGTTATTAATACAATAAACTCTAAACCTCATACTATCATGCACATTGGAACGTACCATATGTCACCTAATATAATACTATTGTATAACATGTTCCATACTACTCAGTATTGTTTAATTTTAGTTTCAACATCATTCTTAAGAGGCAATACCTAATGAAGGAGAACAAAATAAGAAAAAAAAAGGAAGAGGAAGAATGTAAGAGTAACAGAGAAAAAAAATAAAGAAAAAGAAAAGCAGAGTAAAATAAAAACAACAATAGAAAAGGGAAAGAAAGAGAAAAAGAAAGAGAAGTAAATAGAGATACAGATAGAGATAGAGATACAGATAGATTTAGAGAAAGAGAAAGAGAGAGAGAAAGAGACAAAGACATAGAAAGAGAAGGAGAAAGGGACACAGACATAGAAAGAGAAAGAGAAGATAAAGAGACAAAGACAGAGAAAATGGGAAAAAAGTGACAACAGAAGAAGGAGAAGGAGAATGAAATGAAGTAGAGCAGAGACAGAAGATGAAGGAGAAAGAAATTAAGGATAGAGCAATGAGGGAGAGGAAAGTTCCACATGCCCAAATTCAAAGGACAAAGAAGACTCCAAATTTCAAAATTCTTCAGAGCCCAAAGTTCCTCATCCACATGCATGTGGACGAAGACGAGGACGTGGTCGTGACCAAGTCCTTGTATCCAAGGTTTCGGTTTCAGTCCTTGTAATAAAGGTATTTATGATTATATTATTATTACATTATATGA